AACCGTTTTTCAGACAAACAAAATGTTGTTACAACAGATGCGGGATTTTAATGGATTTTACTGATTCAACCAACAAACATGGAGGGTATGAAAACCAACTAATTTATATGGTTTGTTTTGTTATACAATGTGGGGCCCCCGTGTACGAAATCGCGTTCAGTTGGTGCCAATAACTCCAATTTCACTATGGTTGATGGTACGCAAATAACAATAGTTTTCATGGGGTTTATAAACCAACGTTCACATCACTGGGGGGCCCCACATTGTAGGATGTTTATCCACAACATCACAGGGATTTATCAGCAACAACTGGAAACCACCTCCATGGTTGGATCACTTGACCAGACGTCACGTCGACGTATTGGATGAAAGCAGTAATTCAGGGGAATCCTCCCCCAGCGTCCATGAGCCAATTTTTCAGGTATTTTCAAATGAATTGCTCTACTTTGCTATGAAATAGACTGTGGGTGGAAGAAATGAACCACCGTTTTCAACTGGTGCAGGACTTCTTCCATCCACCGCATGATTATTCATTAATAATGTTCACTATAATATTAATCAATTAGTGAACACTATTAACAATTAACACTATTAACACTAATTGATTAACCTGTTAACACTATAACATTAACCTATGTCAATTGTTCACCGCATATTATTGTGTAATAGTGTTAATAGGTTCATTATCCACCATTTGATTAACTATTCTGACGATGTTCACTGCCATTGTCACTGTTCGCTAAAAAGGACTGCTGCTTTGTCGGAAATCAAGCCGCCGTCAGGTGGAGAAGTACCGCTTCAGAGGCAACTGAGCATATTTTTTTGCATTCGCTAAGGATGGGAATATCACCAAGAAATCGTTGCTTATCTATAAATCTATAGGATTCCACCATCCATGTTTCATGAAGCTTGACCTATGAAGGGAGTTGGTTCGAACACAGGAAAGATGGGATATGACATGACCCATATTTGGTGGCAAACAAGCTGCAACTAGCATAGCTGCCGAGGATCGCCAATCACTTGGCTTTGTCCAAGCAAAGGGAGAGACCCTGTCCGTTGGTTGTCCCTCTGAAATGAACTATATCTGGTTGGTGGTTTGGAACATGAATTTTATGACTTTCATATTTTTCAGAGGGGTAGGTCAACCACCAAGCAGATATGAATTGTGAAACGGTTTTTATCCCAGTTGCCATCGGCGCCATCCCTCGCCAGCGTTTCTGCCAGATGATGAATCACAGTTGAAACCTGCAAGTCCGTGGTGACTTTCTGTCAGAACCATTCTTTGTCATTGTTCACCAGAATTAGCTACCTCTTTTTTTTTTTTAGGGAAAACAACTACATGGTTTACCCGGAAAGTTTGCATGATGAAGATCACCTCTAAGCCTCGAAGCGGTGTTTGTGTTTCTAACCATCATCAACCCCATAAGAGCCATGTCTTCAAGGAATCTGAGTGTCTCCGATTTTTTTCCGCGGCTCCAGGCATGGCAAAGAAAAAGGCAGTAGCCGCTCGTCATGAGAATCTGACCAAAATTCAACGATAGTTGATGCCGATTTATCACTCTTGGGGATTCAAAATGGTGAGAAAACCAACTGTTGAAATGGCCAAAAAGGGACAGTTGATCACTTAAAATAGATCTCCCATAGCGACAATAGTTGGGATTTCATCCAAGCACTACTTCAATGCATATGTAGCCATGATAGGGTTTTTTTTACCCCACTGGTGGGGTTTACAGGTCGGCCCCAGGTCCTTTAAAGGATGGCGTGAAAAACCGTTGAAGCCATCGTCCATGGGCCGTGAAATCGTTAGAAAAGTCCTCCTGTTAGGCAAAAAAGCCGATCCCATGATTTCAAATCGTATTTTCTTGGGGCTTTTCTACACAACATTGCTACATGGGTATGGGTCAAAATTAGGTACCCCAAAATTATGGATAGTTAATACTAAACTAGACTAACATCTGTGGTCCCCTAGGTCTTCCATTTTGACCCACATCCACATGTTCTAAATCCCCCATTGATTGGTCTGTTGGCCGTTGCTGTTGGGCCGCCCTGAACCCCGATCGAAATCACCGGTCGAAAAACACCAGGGGTGTCTCCCCCAATTTCTTGACCATTTCCTCAGGGGATCACCGGTGGTTGAAATGGTCTGAAAATGGGATATACCCCCAATGAAATAGCAATTTACTAGGGATGTGTAGGGATAATGATCAGCAAAACCATTGGGATAATGGGGTTTTCTCTATTTTCAGACAAACCCACCATATCTTCATTGCTGAGGCAAGCGTCTCTTTCGATGAGATTTGCTTGGAATTACCCAGCGGCGAGAGGATCTTGGAAGGCCCAGTTTAGTTGAGTGGGCACTGAATGGGGCAGTTTCAACAGAGGATGGAGTGAAGAGCAACGAAAAATCGGGAAAAAAAACATGGTTTAACCATGTTTAACCGTTGTTTAACCTCAACTACAAGTAAACAAATGGTGATTGGTTGGTGATGTGAAAAAAGATGTGCCATCAACTTCAGCAAGAAATCCGGGTTTGAAGCTCTAGAAATGTGGAGACTTTAGTCATCAAAAAGTAGTGCTTGAGCCAACTATGTTGGTGGGATTCGGCCATCCAAATCATAGTCAACGGTACTGTCCATGTTTGGAGGCTTGATCATTTTGACCATACCCATTTTGAGAAGATATATTAAATGCCATGATACAATAATATCATATCATATCTGTTACAGTTCCCAAGATCTAATTCCATAGATCAGACAGTTCATGGCATCTACTTTCCGCCTTGGGAAACCCCCGCGGGACGCGGGACGCCGCGGGACCTGCAGGTGTTAGTGGTGAATTCAAAGCTGGACGGATGTGTCACCTGGACACGGAAGAGATTCGCCAGTGGGTTTCCATAAATGGCACCCTAAAATGCTGGATGGTTTAGAGTGGAATATCCCCAAAAATGGATGAATTAAAGGGGTAGCCCTATTTCAGGAAACCTCCATTTCTAGGAGAAAAATAGACTTATAGGGATAATACGGGCATGTGTTGGGATGTGAGCCAAAAAAAAACATAGAGGGAGAACTGAAAGTAGTGCAATACGACATAATATGACCTCGAAATAAATCGTGAGATTCGTTAAAAAAACAGAGAATCAAAATTGGCAACTCACCGCTTGGGTCTGAAATGTGAATCACATTCGGGCACCCACAAAGATGACAAGTCAGCCAATGTCCCGACAGTCGGTTCCAGTTATAGCACAATCCAGCTCAAAAGATACTCACGATTCCAAGAAGTAAAGAAAATCACACCCAAATCTGGCTCCAAAGTGACTTTCCCCAAAAAAAAACACGAAAAATCCCACAGATCTATTGGATCTTTCATAGATCTTCAGGATCCCAAAATCTTGTCCCAGGTGCCATTCTTGGCCCGTCCGGGGCCGGCAAGACGAGCTTAATGCCTCTTGGCGAGGCTGAAATTTATCACCGCCGCTAGCGCTGGGGGAAGTGAACTACCCTCTGGTTATTTGTTACATAGCCATGGAAAATCGCCATGTTTAAATAGGTAAACCATCTATAAATGGACCATTTTCCATGGCTATGTAACAAATAACCAGATGGTACATGCTGTGAATGTCAAGGGATATAGGGAGATGTCTCCAAGAATTACTGGGATGTGTATACTTACCAAAAGATGTGATTTTTCTGTGGATCTTCAACAAAGTCATAGAATTCATGGAACCTGCTATGGGGAGCAAGACATAGCAAGATCTGAATTGGTGGTTTTGGAAGATTTGCGAATGTTCATCACTACTTGGGATGATACCAAGTGATAACCATGTTTTTTCAGCTGTGGCATCACCAGCATAGAGACCAACTTCCACAACCAGCGACTCTGAGGAACGTTCTTTGTGGTAAAGCTTCTTACGCCAATGTCTCTGGCACAGTTCGATTCAACGGCGTGGAAGGCAGGTCCTTCGTTATGGGTCCAACTGTCCAACATGGCCGATGATTTCAATCCAAATGGAACCGCGGGATGGAAAATGACTTTGATATTTCTATGGGGGTTAACCATGGTTAACCATGGTTAACCATGGTTACTGACGAATTCATTGCCAGGAAATTACGAGGAGTACAAGACGGTCATGGGTTTTGTACCTCAAGATGACATTGTGCACGAGGCGGGGTTTGACATTTTGAGCGTTTGCGTTTCCTTTCCTGGAGGTGGGAGAAAATGGGGCCATGATGCAACCACAGCGTCATGTCCAAATATGGGGTTGCTGAAAAAATTACGAATATTTGTCATCTTTAGCAGGGATACGGGATACCCATGTTTGTTTGGGTGCAAATCAAGAGGCACTACCAAGTTATAAGTAGATGATAAGCCCATTTGAGGGGTGCTCATACAATTTTGATACATTCCTGGTTGGTGCTTTGGATTTATTTTTATGTTTCTATATTAATTGGGAATGTCATCATCCCAACTGACGTTCGCCTATTTTTCAGAGGGGTAGGTATACCACCAACCAGATTCTCAGCCAAGTTTGGGGCCCCAAAAGTTCAATCCCATCGACATCACGACGCCACGCCGCACCGCCAGCTCCCTCAAAGCAGGATAGCGAGCTTAACGGCGTGGGGGAGAAAAAACCCAGTTGGGAGGATCAAGGGATTTAAACATTGGTTCCCCCCATGAACGTGATGTTTTGACATTGTTGTTCCTAGGATTTATGTCAGACCATCTCTATATATATATATACACAATGGAAAAGATGTTCGTATATAGATGTATATACTACGTAATGATACCCGAACCAAACCAGCAAAGACCAGCAAAAACACTACAATGAACAAAGGTTACGTGGCATTATGATATCATATCATATCATATCATATCATAACATTTTTTATTTTCCACAATATAATTATGGGATAATCCTTCCCATTGACTAATGTTTTGCAAGATGGTTGAAACCACCAACTACATATATATATACATAAATGTAAAACGAAAACATCCAAGATGTCTCTCCCGCTGGTGATCCGCTGGTGACGCGATGGCGTGATGGCGTGATGGGCCTGACTTGCAGCTGCTGCGTGAGTGAAGATTCACCAGGACGCGTGATGGGAAATTTGGGGGAGACAGCCCCATGAAATCGGAAATGGTGATTTCCTTACTGGTTTCTATGAAGAAAAACTCGGGGAAAAACCTGAAATCCAATGGATGCCAATGGGTTTACAACCTCACCCCATGAAACTGTCCATAAACTTACTGGTGCGTTTTACGTAGGGAATGGATGGGAATGGGGGTTGCTGGGATGATTACTAGTGATTATGGATCATTCCCGAAAATTCCCTGCTAAGCACCAGTAAGTTTCAGCCAGCGGAAATGGTGATTTTTTACATGATTTAACCGACGTATGTGGGATGTAAGCCGGGATATACTGTGGTGATATGTGTGTTTATGGCGGTTCATAATTCTTTATAGCTATGTGATGGCTTTCAGTGCGTTATAGCCCCACTTCATTCAGCAGGGTAAGTAGAGTTAGTCCACTTTTTTTTTACATCCCAATTGAAAAAGGTGTCTAAAATGTGGTAAGCTATTGTGGGATTTTTATGGAAACGACAATGCTGATCCAAGAGTTGGCCCCTGTGTTTGTCCCGACCTGGAAGATTTATTGTCGTTTGATTAGAACAAATATTAGTTGAAGTAGGGTATTATGGGGTTCCCCCTTGACATATGATAATATGCTCCATTTTCCCAACCATCAAAGTATAATCATGTATGATATTAATAATATGATATTAAATATGCTTCATGTTCCCAACCATCAAAGTATAATCATGTATAATCCAGAATTCACCCAGGGTTTTTAGTGAGACGTTCAAATCAGGAGCACTACCAGCACTACCGAAGTGCAACTCTGATGCTTGGATTGGTCAAGAAACTTGGACTGATGTCAGCTGGGTTGGCGGTGAGTTGGAGATGGATAGATCGATGGATAGATATCTACATAGCTATTGAAAATGGTGATTTAATGGGATTTAATGGGATTTATTAGGATATATGATGGTATAGCCTCTGGTAAACGTTCACAGTTTGCGAACTGGAAGCCATGGCCCAGTCGAAATAGTGGATTTACCCATCTATAAAGCATGGTGGATCTTTCCATAGTTACGTGAACGTTTACCAGATGGTGGGTTTTCTTTTAGAGGATTTGAACATCTGATAATGGCATATTATGGACATTATGTATATATGTATGTATATGTATATATGTTAGATATGTATCTTCAATCATATTTGACTCTATATGTGTACACATGACACAGAGTACGTATAACAAATGCACTTGGATATTCAACAGCAACAATGGAGCTGACAATACCCATCACCCAAAGTCAGAGGGATATCATGGGGGTATAGCCTATAAGATCTAGTAAATAGTAAATATTGGGAACTGAAGAAACTGTAAGCGTGACTAGTCCAATAATATCCCATGATTATAGATCATGAATATCTCATAATCCCCTTAATATTCCCAATCAAAGTGAAGAAACCATGACGCCCTCTTTGCTACAAGGAATTGACCATGGGCTGATGGACACAAAAAAAGGCATAAAAATTGTTTGCAGGTCTTCAGTTATTATTGAGCATGTGTTTATCCATTGTTCCAAATTGCTATACGGACCACTAGCAATTTGATTGTCGATTGGCTAGGTATTTGATGGTATTTATTTTGTTAGTGTTCCATATGACTGTTTCACGAAGAAACAGGAGATGAACAAAAAACGTCAAGCAGGGTACCCTCTGGTAATTTAACATAGCTATTGAAAGATCCACCATTTTTCATGGGAAAATCCACTATTTCTATGGCCATTTTCAATAGCTATTTTGACATAACCAGAGGGTAAAACTTTTTCAGATCATCGTTGACCATCCATTTGATGATGATCCGTGATCCTGGCACAAAAAAAGGCCCGAAGTGGCGTACAAAGTGCATCCATGTTTGTTGCAGAAGAAAGATATCGTGATGTACCCTCTGGTTATGTCAAAATAGCTATTGAAAATGGCCATAGAAATAGTGGATTTTCCCATTAAAAATTGCAATTTTCAATAGCTATGTTAGTTTACCAGAGGGTATCCAAAATCTGTGTATCAGATATGCAAACAATCGTATCATTAAAAAAACTGAAGCTGAAAAAAAACAAGAAACTTTGAAACATATGTCTGAACATATGTCATATGTCCAGGTTACGTTTCAATGGTGAAGACATTTCCCCCATGGCACAGCCACAAAGGAGCATACCGAGCCAGAGCTGGACGGGGAGGGGAGGTGGATGGTCTGACAATTGAAATCTTTGGGAAGTTCCATCGATTTTTCCATAGGTTTTCCATAGGTTTTCCAATGTGTTCCAACGTGTTCCATCAAATTCCATAGATTTTCCATAGATTTTCCATAGATTTTCCCAGTTCACCAAAAAAAGGTTCCAGATTCCTGATGGAAAATCGGATTTTGAATCCAATTTTCCATCTGGAAAATCGGATAAGAAATCAATGAAGAAAGATGTTCCATGATTGTCCCAAAAATGAATACGACAGAAAAACACGGAATACTTGAAATCCCGAATACCTGCAATGAATAGAATTTTAAGATTTACATCGTAGGTGGTGGGATTGAACATGGGTCCAGTAATAATATAGGTGTTCTTACCCATATTCTCCATGTCTGGAATATTTCCCAAATCATAGTGAATCTATATATATACCATTTATCGAACACATGGGTTATGATAGGTGATGTGTTGCAATTGCTGTTTAGATACGGTGACATTCTTTTGTGATGAACCCGTTGACCTTGCATTTGGTTGCAATATGTTTTTGTGTTGATCTCCCACGATATGAAATCGGAGAAAACCCCCCTGTTTTTTGATGATGTAGCTTATCAACTTGGGTTGTGTGTAATGACTTGGACTGTGTTACCTAAGAAGCAACTTGCACAATAGACTAATAACTCAATCATACTGTATATTGCACCAGTTATGAAAATTCTAACTAAAGCATATATATTGACCTGGTTGGTGGTTTGGAACCATGGAATTTTATGACTTTCCATTCAGTTGGGAATTTCATCATCCCAACTGACTTTCACTCCATCATTTTTCAGAGGGGTAGGTAGGTATACCACCAACCAATGTACAATATCTACTAGTATTTTCCCAGCTATAAACCTCCATTTATTAGGGATTTTCCATGGCGAACTGTTAAATAACCAGATGGTAGTTGTTTCTGCTACATCCGGTGCATTTAACGCTGAAGACGCTCTGGGACCGTCGCCAGCGTCGCCAGGACTGTCTCGCTTGCGGTGGAAACGGCTGTAGTCTTTGTCGCCCCTTGCAGGATGAACCCACCAAGGGGTCACGGGGAACCATACAGAAAGATATGGAACCCCATGGTGTTCCCAACGCATGATCTAGATTTATGGTGGATTGTGCATATCTAGATTGTTTTTTGGGAAGGTAAACAGAAAAACGGAAAGTTATGATTGTTTTGGTATTTCAATCAACAGGGTCGGGTTTTCTGCGAATTGTCCAGCATGAACAACTCGAGTTGGTTAGCGAATTCCATGTTTTCCTAGGGGCTAAAAGCAGCCAATTCAGAGGTTCAGTGTCCATTCTGATCTGGCACCATGATGCCACGGACAACCAGCACTCATGTGTTGTCCTATGAAAATGGCGTCATCATTTATACCCTGTGTGATCCGATAGTGTCATAAGATACCTATTAGGATTAGATAGTGTCATAAGATACCTATTGGGATCATATGTCGATTTACCTGTTTTTTTTGGTATCATTTGTACAGCAGAATATCCTAAAATACTCAAATGGTTGTGGTAGCCATCCGGCCCTTCCGATGTTGGTTGCTACAACTGGTGGATTGATGGTGAGCAACATAGCCATCAGATCAATGGCCATGGATGTATTGGAGCCACCATAAGACCTAAGGGGTTAAGGGAAGATTCCCATGAAATGTGGCCAGAAATATGCTACAGTATCTCCATTTCTAGTTGGTGGTTTGGAACATTTTTTCCATCTATTGGGAATAATCATCCCAACTGGCTAATATTTTTCAGAGGGGTTCAAACCACCAACCAGATTTAATGGTCCCCTAAAATTTCCTATCGTTGGGTTTGGTTAGATGGGGTACCAAAAAAGTCACTGATATTCATCATTCTCACCAAATCTCCCAGTTTGTTTGAAGATAGGGTATCAAAAAAAAGTCACTGATATTAGATATTCATCATTCTCCCCCAAATCTCCCCAACAAAAGCAACTTTTTGGTCAGAGACAACGAACCAACTCTAGGTGACAGCGCCCTTGCACTGTCAGATGACTTGGCCCAGCTTCAACAAACCGACGCTTGGCAAATGGCTTTTGTGATGGGTTTTTCTGGGGGCTTACAGTTTCTGAACATTCTGAACAGTTGGGATTTTTCATGATTTCACCAGTCAGGATTCCTGGGTGTTTCGTGGGTTTATCCAGGTTTATCAGGTTTACCCCTGATTCCAACCTGGATGGTTCCTCACAATGACAATGACTGAATGTTGCTGATGAACCAGGGGATTTGGGGGTCACCCTATGTTGATTGGTGTGGTGAACCGGGCCGCGCCTCGGGTCCCTGGTTTTTTTCTTAAGCAAAAGTGAACCTTTTCGCAACATGTGATGGTTGCACTTCGCCGATGCTATGATTATATAATTCATCTACGTTCATTTTATTGAATGGGTTCGGCATGGAAATGCTTCTGAAAGACGTTCCTTTTGGCCGTCCCATGAAGTACAGATTGACAGAAGTGAACCTCCAGGATTGCTGAATCTAAATGATGTCCTCCAACGTTGCAGGCAGTGCTATGGTCTCAGAACAAACTAAACATGTTGGAACGTGCTTGAAGGTACCCTCTGGTAAATAAACATAGACCCTGAAAATCACCAATTTTTAATGGAAACTAGTCTTCGAACCCCGATGACTGCCAGGGTCTATGTTAATTTACCAGAGGGTATGTTCTACATGTCTACATGGATGACAAATGGAACAGGGGCCCCGACCTGATTGGTTGAAAGCTCTACTCTTGATACCACATCTTCTCAGGTCCAAATCACCCTCCATTGACGTTTCTGCCTTCATTCTTTGATTGCATCGTGAGGCAAAAATAAGTACGGGATAGTACAAATATCCTTGGTTCCCGTTTGAGATATATTGAGATATAATGTGTTTATTATGTCATTATATTCCTTGGCTTTGAAATCCATGGTTGCTTCTACGTCCACACCTCTCGGTCACAATCTTAATTATCTTTGTTGAATCTATCTTGCTTTATGTATATGACTCTTTATGAAATGCTTCATTTGAAAGTGCTATGTGTAAAATATGCATCCAGGATCGCTGATTCATTTTAGGGTTAAAAACTCACTGGCCGACCTCGCCAAAAATGGCTTACTTCTGGTGTGTGAACTTCATCAGAAATATTTATAAATTAATAGACTCTGTAACCTAATAAGATTTGTGACCTGGTAGGTACCTATTATGTATTGGATAGTTTAACCAATTCTTATACAAGAGATTATGTTACAACATACCTATCTGTATATACATGTGCAATACTATACAATGATTAAATCTATAGCTTTCTTTATGTAACCATTGGCATTTCACCAAATAAGAAATTATTTCACATCGTGATTATCATCATCACTACAGTGATAACCCCTTAAAGCCTTACCCTCTGGTAATTTAACATAGCTATTGAAAATTGCCATTTCTAGTGAGTTTTCCCATTAAAAATGGTGATTTTCCGTAGTTATGTTAAATTACCGGAGGGTACGTTACTTTCCCAGTGGCTCATGGCGTTCATCTCCATCCATTCCCCGCTCCAGGCGGCCCCGGCGCCACGCGCGCCGTCCGACTTGGTTCGAGACGCGCTCATGCCCTTCGTCTCAGCCGATGATGTCGTGTGCACGTTCGAAAAAAAACAGGAAACGTGCAGAAAGATGGGATTCTCATGGGGTTACAACAGTTAATGACAACCATCATCAACCATCTAAATAATCTGGAGGGTTAACTCTAAAGCTCTGAACACTTGGGGGTTTTAACTTTTAAGCAGCGAAACCTGGATCACGCTCTACTGGGGGGATAGAGATGGGTACCATGCGAGTTGAACCAGCCAAAAATAAGTTGGAGGGATCAACTCTTACCCGTCTAGACATGGGGTTATCCAGGTTTAGCAAAGATAAGTTGGAGGTTAACCAACTAGAAGCAGTGGGGGCGTTTTACCATGGTTTTGTTTCCTTTTCGAATTATGAGAGGTGACCATGGATAGTGGGAAAGGATGCAAAGGCTTGAATTGCTGCCACGAGACGATCCGAGTCTGTCGTTTAACCAGCAGAAATGCATGGGTATGCCTGAAAATGATCCCCTAAACAGTTATGATACAAATGAGTAAAAACAGTCAGCCTTTTCTCAGGTGTTTTGGATCACCAACAAATCTCATGGAGAATCTCAGTTCTGTCTTGAAAGACGCCATGGATTGATGTGGGTATTCTCTTTTTTTGACCCAACAAACGGCCAATATGTTAGTCGTTTGAAATGGTATGTAGATGTGTGTAGTATAACTATAGATGGTGGATGATGGTGGTAGCTTGTGCGCAGCTGTCTTTTTTCATCCCGAAGTATGCGTTTTTTGGGGCACCTGGCCACACTTCAGGCGCCCAGCCGGCCAGTCATGGGGATGATGAAACGGTGGAAACGATGTCGCTGAGGCAAGTCTTATCCACCTGCAAGTCGACATCTAGCGGGTTGCTTGGCTTGGCTTGAGGATCAACCTGGAAGTGGTAGTCCAAACTTCACGGGAACGGTTCAAAGTCGTACCCCAATATGCTTTCAGAAGAGACTGAAAGAGACATTTCGATGCCCTCACACAGAACCTCGAAAAGCAGGAACTTGGCTAATTCATACTACATCTGGGTTGCAACACATACAGCTAGTTGGGATTGCTACCATCATATATGGGGGTTTCCTAAGTCATTGCGCTATCCCAAACTATCCAGTCGTCATGGATCATGGATGACCATTTGAGTGTTGAAACAACCATGGTGACGACTGGGGATCCCCTATGACTTAAGAACCCCCCGCATCTTCATTGGCATTCCCATTCTTCTAGTGGATATTTCGTGATATTTCCCAATATTTCCCAATACCCTCTGGTAATTTAACATAGCTATTGAAAATGGCCATTTATAGTGGATTTAACCATTAAAGATGGTGATTTTCCATAGTTATGTTAGTTTACCAGAGGGTAACTATAGTTAACTAAACTTCGATCCTCCATGACTTTTCTTAAAGCCCCAGGGCCCCAGGATGTTGTAGAGATCCTTGCATCAATGCTGGACATGGCTTAGCCGGCTTATCCCTTGAGGTGGCGCCTGGGTGAGCTCTTCAAGCATCTCATGGAGTGCAAACACGCCATCAGCGACGCCTCAAAGGCGTCCTTTGCGGATGGAAAAAAGTGGTGGTTTAACCGAGTTTTACCAACAAAAAGGCATTTCAAAAAAAGGGGTGATTTGTCACCAAGAACAAAGATCAACAAAAATGGGTGGTTTGGCTAATAAAAACTTGGGGGTTAACCATGAAAAGACTTGGTATATCATGGTAGAGTATTAAAAAAATGGAGTACAATATAACTGACCAACTTGATATGATATTGGGGGATGTCTGAAAATGCTTGGTATACACCAAATGGCAATTTGAATGAGGAATATGATGACAATTGTTTGGAAAATGTGAAAAGGGTGTTTATACAACAAGAAATGTCTTTAACCAAAATAAAGACATTTGTTTTACCAGCCAGGAAAGTGGTTCACGCAAAAAAATCTGTCTCACCAATTAAAGAAGCAGATGGAACTCCAACAACAATGAGAATTAATGTAAACAACAAACATGATGGTTAAGCAGTTAAGCCATGAAGAGTTACTGTAGCTTAAACTAACAGAAATTGTGACTTAACGGAGAAAAATAGTGGATCACTCCAACAACCATAGGTGGTTGCGTTCCTATCTTGATATGATATAGATATATTTATTCGATCAATGCGTGTTGATTCTGACATCTAATAATGACCATTTTTGGTTTTGGGATCCCCAATCCGCAATTTTTGTGTACTTATTTTGCCAGGCCTATTTGGGTCGTTGTTTCCTGGGATTTCGTACATTGAAAAAGAAAGAGTGGCTTCAGCGATGCGCGGGGAAGACAACTTGGATAGATCATGAATCATGATATTCACAGCCATTCTGATAGAAACTCTGATCCGACATGACTGGAGGAAAATGCTGGATTTTTTGTTATACAGAAACGGTGGAAGTTTCTGAATACACGAGGACCTCATTGCAGATGATTCAAAACGCGACCTTTTTTTAACATCGGCCCTGTCGAGGCCACCAAAATTTCGGTTTGACACATGTTTTCAGAATATTGGAGATACCATTCTGGCAATTATGGGTTGATCCCTAATTGATAATTTTTATGAGAGTGGCTCAACCGCAGACCAAAGTTTGGCAACAAATGTGGGGCCGGTATGAGCTGGTCAAATTGTCACTTGTGCAATGTTGAGTCTCAACCCTCCAACATTTGGGACCAAGGTTGCTTCTTGATATCCCCACGATATTCTTCTGATCCAGATTTGAAGGAGCTCTACCCGTGCTATTTAAGTAATATTTGGGAAAATATGTTTTGACTTGGAAATATCTGAACTGATTGGAGGTGTGGGTCATGTTTATGCTGGCGGCTGGTTTACCGTACGTGCGTTTTTGTGTTTTCTTTGGCCGATGGGGTGGGGTGGGTTGGGGTGGGGTGGGGTGGGCTAATAACGATCAATGGCACTAGCACACATACTTGATGCTACGCTACCGACCACGTCTCTTGCACTTGCACACATACCTGATGCTACGCTACCGACCTCGTCTCTTGCACTTGCACACATACCTGATGCTACGCTACCGACCTCGTCTCTTGCACTTGTACACATACCTGATGCTACGCTACCGACCTCGTCTCTTGCACTTGCACACAATACCTGATGCTACACTACAAATGGGTTGGGGTGGGGTGGGCTAATAACGTTCAGTGGCACTAGCACACATACGTGATGCTACGCTACCTGTCTCTTCTCTTGCACTTGCACACATACGTGATGCTACGCTACTGACCTCGTCTCTTGCACTTGCACACATACCTGATGCTACGCTACCGACCTCGTCTCTTGCACTTGCACACATACCTGATGCTACGCTACCGACCTCGTCTCTTGCACTTGCACACATACCTGATGCTACGCTACCGACCTCGTCTCTTGCACTTGCACACATACCTGATGCTACGCTACAGAGGGGTTGGGGTGGGGTGGGGTGGGGTGGGCTAATAACGTTCAATGGCACTAGCACACATACGTGATGCTACGCTACCGGTCTCTTCTCTTGCACTTGCACACATACGTGATGCTACGCTACCGATCTCGTCTCTTGCACTTGCACACATACCTGATGCTACGCTACCGACCTCGTCTCTTGCACTTGCACACATACCTGTTGCTACGCTACCGACCTCGTCTCTTGCACTTGCACACATACCTGATGCTACGCTACAGATGGGTTGGGGTGGGGTAGGGTGGGGAGGGCTAATAACGTTCAATGGCACTAGCACACATACGTGATGCTACGCCACCGGTCTCTTCTCTTGCACTTGCACACATACGTGATGCTACGCTACCGACCTCGTCTCTTGCACTTGCACACGCCGAGACTCTTCGAGCGAACATGCAGTGAAAGTGCTGCGCCAGAAAAAAACCGAAAGTCCGAATTTTTTGTTGTCTCCCTGTGGCGAAACGCAAATCCATCAAAAAACAAGGCATCCTGAAACAGCCTCTTTCTACTCCTGGCGTTCACAAAAGCCTGCAAATACAAGTGAAAAATGATGAAAAAATAAAACACAATGGAATTAGCCACATTTTGTGACCAAACATGATGATGATTGCTTCAAAAGTCCTGCAAATACCAAGAGATAAACATGAAGGTCATCATAAAGACTCTTGAGAAAATGCCAAAACACACGCGCGGTAAACCAGGCGCCGGGATGTTTATGTGTTGTGTATGTATATTATATATATATACTCTCTGGTTATTTAACATAGCCATGGAAAATGGCCCATTTATAGATGGTTTACCTATTAAACATGGTGATTTTCCATGGCTATGTTAAATAACCAGATGGTATATATATATATATGTATATATTTGGTGTTGGATTGCCCATAAATCACCCTAGATTGCCACCCTGCCATCATGTCACAGGTGAGTCGTAAGGTGGCGGTGGACTTTTTATTCGGCGAGACGAAGAAACCCCACACGCATCGGCAGTGCACAATTCATATGCATGATAGGACGCCTGGACGGGTTGGTTGGTTGGTTGGTTGGTTGGTTGGTTGGTTGGTTGGTTGAAAAATGGTTCTTGATATAGTATAGCAACCCTGAAAAAGATAGAAAAGTTAGAAAGCTGGAAGCTATGTCTCATCTATACCATCCTGGAAACACTATTCTATCTTGTTGGGAGTTGCGAGAAGTGATTCATGGATTGATATAGTTAGTAGTTAAGTGGATAATCAACAGGAATAGACATCCCAATGATAAGTCTGGATGGGATGGGAAATATATTAGACACATGTTTAAGGATATTCTAGTCAGATAGGCAGGATGTTTTTTTCACTGGGTTGATTTATGGTGATTTAAGGGGAACATGTACAGAAATCCAAGGAATATTAATATGAAACATGCTGGTGCTCCTGCATTTGCTCTCAACACTTTGGGATTGGTCGGATGTTGCGAGTCGTGGAAATGGCATGTAGACAATGTAGACCAACGAGAATAATACATGGTCAGTCCATTTTGTGTAAGCCCCAAAAAATCGGAAGCCAGAGTTTGTCCGTCTTTATCTACGGTGTTTCAAATCCTCAAATCCCCAAATCGTTTTGGATTTCGCCAGATTTTTCCGACAAAAAAAAACTCTGCGAAAGATGCGCGGTGTCCAGGACTTTTGATATCTCAACGCAAAACAAGCGGCTGGATGGCATCGATGCTCGGCGCAATGCTCCGATGGGGCCCCTGCCATGAGTTGGGGATGAATTGGGGGAAATGGCTTCCTTTTGAAGTGTATGCTGCATATGCTCGGTTCATGTTTCCACACCCTTGGAATATGTGCAATCTGCCAACAATTACCCTTTTTTGTGCACTTCAACCCAGTACAGCACAGAGCCCCAATGGTTCCCAGTCGATTTTCCGTCCCCATTTTCGTAGAAGCATCGTAGACTGCAAAAATGACCATCCATCCGGGAAGCAGCTCCAGCGGCTCCAGCGGCACGGTTCCAGGAGTTGTCCAAACAGTTCGATGCATGGCGCAAGGACACCCGGGCCGAAGCAGCTGCCTGGCATGACCAACAAAAACCCCCTGTGGGTTGATGAATGCAAGGAGGTTAGAACGGGGTTGTACTATCATCTGGTTAACCATTTATCTGGTTAATAATGGGATAATGATGGTTAATGAGGGGTAATAATCACTGGTTGGTGGTGACTGGAAATGAATGGATTATTTTCCATAATATATGGGATGTCATCCCAACCCCATTGACGAACTCCATCATTTTTCAGGATGATTAAAACCACCAATCAGTCATTGCTGCGGATTATGAGGTTATTTAAGTTATTTGTCAGAACTGGGAATCCTGTTCTGAACATTTCGACCCATCAACCAGGATAAAATGGAATGACAGAGGATTTGAACACTGCTCGGGCATGGGTCAGTACCTACAAAGGGGGCTATATTGTCGTTGCAAAACCATTTCACCTATCTTGGGGGGCCACATTTTATAGGACCGTTGGTAGCCGATGAAGGTCCACTTGCATCCTTCCATTTGCCAGCTATCTTGGTGTACCAGGGTGTTATACAATGTATCACATGCTAGCTTTGTTGAGGTTAAATGCCTTTTATTGCCCAATCGCCATGTGTTGTTTAGGTCTAATTCTTTTGACCGTCATGCTTAAAATCCCTCTGAACGCACCAGTCGAAAGAATCCACAAGACTCTCAGGGTCTTGTCGCTTTGGGGAAGGTGTTTCTTTTGAGTGGGAACTGGTGACCTCAAATTTTAGCACATGAAAATCTGCGAGGTACTGCTTTACCTTGAGACATCATCATTTTTTTCGCCTCAAGATATCCGTAACCGGATGAAACATGCAGCTGTGATACCTGAAGTGCCATCCAAAGTCATCTACCCGGTGATCAAATCTGGCAGAGCCCATGTTCGATAATCAAACAGATGTGTTAGTAACCCTCAAACAGATAGAAAAAGGTAATTTACCACTAGCACTATGTTAGTAGGATTTTACTTGTCTATCTTTTGGGGGGCCATTGCGAGGTCCAGTTTTAGCCCGTCAGAGGGGTGTAGACATGAAATTGCCATGTTAAAATGTGCCATATGGATGCAGTCCAGTCACTTCCCACATGAAATTCGAAATTGTCACCATATCAAAATTGGAGACCTACATATCTTAGACCATCCCTGTTTATCCAATTATATCCTATACTATATATATATTATCCGATACTGTATATATATATTATATATATTCTATTATATCATATTATATTATATCATATTATATTGTATTATATTATATCATATTATATTTGATTATATTATATTATATTGTATTATATTATATTATATTATATCATATCATATTATGTTGTGTTAAACTATATCATATCATATCATATCATATTGTATAATATGACATTATATTATATGACACGTTTATATCTTTCATCTTTTTTAATATATACATATTATGTGCATTTACATATATAGTATATGTATCCCATATATTTCTTAGGTGAATCTCCCTTAAACTTCCCATTGCTTCGTTCCCATGGCCGGGCCAGTTCCGATGGCCCCAGGCTGCTCAAGGCATTGCTTTCCGACCGGGCACATCCTTGCAGCGGCTCGGCGGCGAGTAGCCGACATTGGGAGAGTAGCCGCTACGGGATGGAAAAAAACGGTGCACCAAAATAGGGACCATAGATACCCTCTGGTAATTTAACATAGCTATTGAAAATGGCGATTTATATTGACTTTTCCCATTAAAAATGGTGATTTTCCATAGCTATGTTAAACTACCAGAGGGTAAATGGGTTATAAATGGGTTATAATCCCATGAAAAGTATCGATATATCACCTAGAAAGCATAGTTATTGGACTTATAAACCAACTTGGCTAATGATAGCCATAGATGTCCTTTTCCCATTAGTTGGTTGATTAATAGAGGGGTTTGAAAAATCACTTTAACAACAGGTTTGTTTGATGATAGATGGTATACCGAACCGACCCCTCTATTTTTACCAAAAGGACATTATTGACTAAAATAGTGACCTTGAGAAAAAGATGGAAACATGACTGGTTGATGGTATTTTGCTGGTTCCATATTGAATATGTTTTGTTCAATGTTCCAGCCTAGGATGATGATCTCTCAAATAACTGATTAGGGATGGGCTAAGCACCAACCAGATGATAATTTGGATGGAAACATTGGGTCTAAAGCAACAGATTTCGGGAGATTCACGCGACAGAAATGAGAAAAAATAGCTAAGCAGGCTAAGCATTGTGGTTATCACGCACCGAGAATAGAAGAAATGGTGACTGAACACAGAAATTCTGTGATTTTATGCATTTGAGGTAGGAGTGAACCCGAATTTTCTTGGCGTTCAAATAAAGAGCAATGACCGGGGTTTTATTTTTTTGGGTGGCGGTTGGCATAAAAGCAGGACATCGTCTGATGGGCACTTTGGTTATAGCGTTATAGCTCCCTTCAAGCTGAGAAATCGTTGTTTGAAAATGGTCCTGACCCTGAGCTGGAAGTGGAGGAATTTGCAAATTTCCTCATAAAAAGCACTCTTTTAGATGATTTAGTAGGTGAAATTATAGACTCTTTGGGATTTCAATGCTCCCATTCAAAAAACAAAGATGGGCTGATGTCATGTCCTAAATTGGAGTAACGCCCAAACAAAGCTAGACAAGTGATTTACAGTTCTATCTTAGCCGGATTCCAGGTCATCATCCATTCGACCCAGGTGGTGAGAACAAGTGACTTTTGATATAAAAGCCGGTAGAAAATCGGTATGATCATTATGTCAATGACATCAGAATTCCTATGAAGTTTCGTGATTTGAGGGTTTTCCAGGGAGTTGAGTTCCATGGCTCTCATGGCTTTAGTGGTTTAATATTGTGAAAGATATCTTGTGAGGTCCCACCAGACTCGGACCTAGGCACGTCTTGGCTGGGAAAGTGGAAGATGTGGATTCAACCAGTTTCGCCACTTCGGCTGGCGCTGGAAAGGTGTGATTTGTTTCGCCAAGTTTACAATCAAGTTTACAACATCCCAAGTAGAAGATTGCAGTTATGTGGTTGGGGAAACCCCGGAAACCAATATGTTACAATCAACTTGTAGATTAGTTGCTATATGTGAACTCAATCCACACCAAGTTCTTGGGAGAAAGGTTGTGGCGACCATTTTTGAGGGTGTCGTGTCTTACTTGTGCGATGATTGAATCTGCCGAGATTGATTTGCAGAAGGGAACCGGGAAAGAACGGAATCTGAAAGTTCTTAACAATTTGAGTTCTTAACCAGCAATGGGCATAGGAAGGGAAAGTTACGCGCACTAATGATTGTGTGTCAAGAATGTGATACATGAATAGCTGGTTGGTGGTTTCAAAATGTTTCAAACATGAATGTTATTGTCCATAATATATGGGATAATCCTTCCCATTGATTAATATGTTTCAAGATGGTCAAAACCACCAACCAGATAATGCTCGAAGTGGGTCATGCTGCGACCCGGATGATCTGAACTTCTGGGAACCTCTGATCCTTCGAAGGGTGGGTGACTTTCCAACCTGGTATGATTCGGTTTGCCACATTAGAGGTTTGTTATTCAATTACATAGATAATTACATATGTACATAATTATATATGTAAATATTATATATATACAGGTATACTAATTATTAGGTTCAGCTTTACCACATGTCTTTGGTTCAAGTTTCGCGCATTATTGGCGTTTTTTTCTTTTTTGAGGCCACAGCGGTGGATATGCACTTTCTGAATCCCAGCAATCCAGAGCTCTACAACTCGCTCTTCACGTTCTTCAAGCTCTTCTTCAAGGTCGGAAGGTCGTTCAGTGGTAGCTGCGTGAATAATGGTCCAGTTGGTTAAAAGAATCAGGGACTACACACTAGCCAATAGATTGGGGATAAGTGAAGGCTAGTGAAGGTTAGTGAAGGTTAGTGAAGGTGGTTCATCCCACTTAAGTAGCTTTGTTCACCCGAAATATCAGTGGATGAAGCCGACTTATACCACTGGGCCATCCCCAGTAGTGTCTCGCAACTGGGTGGCCACTGCCACTGCCACTGGATCTTGGGGATGCAGTTTTTCGGTTGCGAATGTTGTGACGCTCTCCTATGGCAATACTAACCATTACCCTCTGGTAATTTGTTACAAAAAGCGAACTGGAAAATGCCCATTAAAATAGTGGATTTACCCATTCATAGCATGGTGATTTTCCATAGTTTTCACGACCATGGTGACATTGATCCACTTATAACTGGAACTGCACTTCCAGTTGTAACGCGACAGATAATATTTTTTTGATAAATGGTCAATGATTTAAATGGTGAAAGTGATGATGATTCGTAGGTCGTGCAACCAGTGATTGATTGGCCGGGTTAAGTCTTTGCCAGAAGTGTTTTTTGGGCATCCCAATTAGTCAGTGGTGAATATGTCCCATTTATAGCTGCTTAGTAGTAATCCCACTAATCCAACTGGCTGGGAATATGCTTGTTACAGAGGATTCCTGCACTTATCCAAGGCCAAGAACTTGATCTGAATTTCAAGAACCTGACTTTTTTTATCTCCCCATAAAATTGGGGACCCATATCCATGGGTCCCCTGGGTCCCCTGGGTCCCTGCGACCTTCGAGACCAAATCATGGCTTGGAACATCCGCCAGTTCGATGATTGGTCCATGAACGAATGCCTACAATTTGTAGTTCGAGGATTTCCCAGAAAGCTATGTTTGATTTCCGGGATATCATTCAGTATACTGAGTGGTGGTCATTGGGCCAGCTTTATTTCAAAATTCATCACAGAGAAAAGTCTAGTTCCCATTGACAAAGCCTCACATCATACCCCAAATACGTCCCCTTTGGATTAACCTTTCAATGAGCAAATCATTGAACTAAATGGAGGATTTTCCAGCAAACCATGGTTGATTGCCAGAAGGTATTTTTCAGACATTCTTTCTTTTAATCGTTACCAAAGTATCATGTATGGCATAGTTTAACATGTTCTGTTTGAACTTGAACAAGTATATGTTGTCCCATCATATTCCCTTCTATTCTATTCTATATCTAATGGGGTACAGTGGGCGTATATCAACCAGTATCAGGATATAATGGTGATATTCATGGGTATATAAGAGATACTCTGATATGCTAAATGAGATTAGATGATATACCGTTTGGCAAACTAACATACCTATAGAAAATCATCATGTTTAAAGTATTTGAAATAGGTAAATCAACTATATATGGGCCATGTTCAATAGCAGACTGTGAAATTACTAGAGGGTAAATCCCATTACATCCCATTAAGTTCCATTAAATCACTGTTTTAGGGTAACTCTTTTACCATAGATACACTAATATATATCTATTCTCAATGATATGGTTTTTTTTATCAAACTCCAATTTTCAATCACAGTTTAACCATAGCTAATGATCATATTAATTACCATTGATTACCATAGATTACCATTGATTACCATTGATTACCATTGATTACCATTGATTACCATTGATTACCATAGATAGTGATATGGGTTATACCATCGATGATCGCCTCATTTTTTCTCAGGTCGCCCACCAGCTCCATCAACGCGGTGACGGCCACGCGCTTCTGGCGGCCTGCGCAGCCACAGTACCGCGTGCCAGCGCAGTGATGAAGGACCCCTTGGAACGGCGCAACGGGGCGTTTCGGGGGGGATTGGATGCATAAAGCTTTGGAAAATGGAGGATTTAAGCCAGTGAGGTGGAGAAAAATTGTGAATTTCAATGAATTTCATGTTTCAGGGCTCCAAAAACGATTTTGTACCCGTAGAAATTGATTTAAAAAGGCCGTCATAGAAGCAATTTTGAGGGTGTGAGGCCCGTGTTCCATGGAATGCTTGGAGGTTTTTTGATCGTCTCAGGACATCATTGAGGATACCAAGTATCGGATCAGCGCTACACAGATGACAGGAGCGCTGCGGTGTCCCCAGCGGTGCCAAAACTGAGACGAGCCGAGGGCGAGGAACGTAACCTTTCCCACAGGAAGGTACCCTCTGGTAAATAAACATAGACCCTGAAAATCACCTATTTTTAATGGAAACTAGTCTTCCAACCCCTATCTGCCAGGGTCTATGTTAATTTACCAGAGGGTATATGTTTTCTAGTTTTCTAGGGATGACGCCTCAGTTTCTCAGGAATTTCCATGAATTTCCATACATTCGATACCTCGGATGACTATCCAGGAGTGATGCGACATCGCTTTACTTGTCAGGATCTCAGTGGAAGTTCGCATCGAACTGGATATGTTTTTTCTGAATGGTTGGTTTAGTGGTGTCATATGGGGTTACAAAGACAACCATTTTATGTGGACAGAATGGTGTATAATGGGGATATATCATCTCAGCCTGGCTATTGTCACTGTTTGTCACTGTAAATGATGTAAATCGGGAAAATCATCCCCAAGATGGCTCCCAGAATGGCGAGAGCTTCAGAATTATATCCTAGTTTGGTCATATCTTTTCATTGGTTTACTGGCCCAACACGCAGGTTTCGGAACCTGTTATGATTAACTGTATAGCTTATATAACTGTATAATTTGTGAAAATTCCATGAAACACGGCTTCTTCCTTTTAAAAATTGTACACTAAAATTGCCGCTTTTTTTTGTGTACCCCATTCGTGGAGAAGCCCTTTTTTTGTTCTGTTTTGGGAAGACATACCGAGTCTTGACTGTTGATGGCTGATCTGCTTATATAGTAATTAAATAGATGACCCGCTTAAAAACAAAGCGACTAAGTAGAGGGAATCCACTGAACTGGCAAAGCTAAAGTCACCATATGATGAGGATCAGGAGATCTCCATATGTTTTCCCCAGTTCCCATCTCCTGCTGCGCAGCCCAGCCGAGGCCGTTGGAATCTGAAAGCCATCCGGAAACGCTTCGGCGAAGATCAGCCACCAGTTGATGTCTGAAATGTGTGCCAGAAATGGGGATAAAAACTGGTTTGGAATATGTTTTCCATATATTGGGAATGTCATCACCCCAACTGACTTTCACTCCATCATTTTTCAGAGGGGTAGGTCAACCACCAACCAGGAAATATACTAAGCCTTACAAAAGCAGCTACAGAGCGAGTGTTTGGGCGCACGGTTGGCGATGATCATGCTCATCCATAGCTGACGGAATGGTGGTGTTGTCTCATCGGCGTTTGGTTCCAGAAATCAGATGTTCCTGGCGCTGGAAATGGAATTTCTTTCCTCAGCTACAATGACCAGTCCCGATACATCCCATAGTGTATATATATATATGTATGTATACAGTATGTGTATATGTATATGTATATAATATACATATACATATACATATACATATACTGATATGTATATATAATTATATATACACATGCGGTTCTTTCCAACTAGCAATGAGTGTGGGTTGCTTGGCGGCTTCGCACTTCATTGCGACGGGTTGCTTCTGTTTGGGGTTCCACATTTTGGACCATCAAATCTGGGGAAACCGACTGATTTCAGTAGCTCTGTTGCGATGCCACGGTTGGGGTCCCAACGGGCACAAAAACATGCTATGAGGTGACACTGCGATATTCACATCTAGTACTTCCAGTCTCCTCCCAGTACTTCCGTTTGGTTTGATTGCTTGAGATTGACCCACATCATGAGAAACGGACCCATGTCCAGTTTCATCTCTGTTGGGTTGCTCTACGGACCCATCCCATCTACCCAGGTATCATGTCTTTCGAGACATGCCGATGTACGATTGGCGTTACTTGGTACAAACCATGGCCCATGTTCACCCAATGTTACCAAAGGTGGAGGTGATTATTAAAAACCAGACCCAAGAAAGTGGGTGTCTGCTTTCTGTCATTTGGATTTACCATGGTTTACCACATTTGTCACTTTGCATTTGGTATGTTGAGCCAAGTCTTGCTGCAAGGAAAAACAAGAACCAACCGACAGAACTTTGAGCTCCACACCTATCTTCAAATCGGTTCAATTGATTTCAAACTTTGGCTTCGTTTTCAAACCATTGCAAATGTTCGATTGACTTAAATCCAATTTCAATCTATTTCAATTTCATACCTTCAAGACGATGTCCGAACCGCGTTCAACCATATTTCAAGTTATTTCAACCCTCCAAAACTGAGAATAATCCTGCCCCATAAACCTTCCACGCGACCGACTCATTCACAAGCCATTCGTATTCCAACATATGTTACATATTTATATATATATATACCTTCTGGTTATTTAACATAGCTATGGAAAATGGTCCATTTATAGATGATTTATATCATTTTTTAACATGTTATATCTCCAATGCTGCGCCACTCATCTCCGTGCCCAGGCTTGGAGTCGGCGACGGACTCTGAGCTCCTGGCGTTGTCGCTGCGGACCATGGATCACCACCAAGTGGAGGCGTGGCTCCGAAGTCAGGTCGGTTCGTCTTGGTCGGCAAATTCCATGGAATTTCCATGGGAATTTAACCATGTTCTATAGCTGGTTGGAAGAACAAGAGAATTTGCTAGACATGTCGATTGTTTCAGCATCTTTAGATTCGATATCTTGGAGATATATGAGATATGCTCTACAGATCTATAGATTCTATATAAATCTATAGAATAGATTCTATATGATTCTATAATATTCTATAGATATCTTGGATGTAGCGCCTGTTTCCAACCTCCAGTCGCCGGTCACTGTGTCACTGTCCAACAGCGACTGAGATCAGCTTCCTGGTGTCCGACAACGGAAAGCTGGCGACTTGGATGACTTGGATTCGGTACCAGAAGCAAAGGTGATAGTAGAACTATCAACAAACATTTGTGATAAATGGTGATTATTTGCCACACAACTGGTAATTTATGGGTGCTTTTATAGTGATTTGGTGATTTATTGGTGGTATATATCCCTGAGATTGATTCCTTTTGATCCAGCAATGAGAATGGAACATTTGGGAATGGGTCAATGCCTGAACCGATTTTAGGGGGATGGAATTCCTGTCTTGGGGGTAGGTGACGACTACGAATTGTAGCCCACTCATGTTGCTGGGATCTGGCGAAATTTTGCATCCAGAATCGTCATTTTTTTAGAACCTTTCTATCCAAATCTCAAGGCACACACGAACATTTGCAAAAAAGCTGCATGTTCAAAAAGGTTCCACATCCATCCACATCCTATTTCTAAGTGCTTCCAATTTTTTTTCGACAAACACAACAAAACACCTGCCATTTTTTCGGGTTTCCCCTGGTTTACCCCACCAGGGCACCCAAGCGCAGCTGCGCGTCGCCAGGTCTGGTCCGACGGCCATGGACCGCGCCAGGGCGAAGTGCCCAGCTTCTGGGCTGGCGCCTTTAACATCCGGGCGCCCTGGCCATGGGTCGATGGAGGAAATCGTTCCCAAAAAAGTGGGAGATTTCTATATAGTTCATGATATTTCTATATTTTTTTATGGATATGTCTATATAGTTCATGATATTTCTATATTATAATATAGTTCATGATATGTCTATATAGTTCATGATATTTCTATATTATAATATAGTTCATGATATGTCTATATAGTTCATGATATTTCTATATTATAATATAGTTCATGATATGTCTATATAGTTCATGATATTTCTATATTATAATATAGTTCATGATATGTCTATATAGTTCATGATATTTCTATATTATAATATAGTTCATGATATGTCTATATAGTTCATGATATTTCTATATTATAATATAGTTCATGATATGTCTATATAGTTCATGATATTTCTATATAGTTCATGATATTTCGATATATTTTATGATATTTCGATATATATTTCTGATGTTTACGGCATAGAATTATCATGTGGGATTCACCCGCCATGAAGAATTATCATGGTAAGTAAACAATTCGCAGCCGTCAAAATGGTGATTCTGGGGATTGTGGGATTGGATGTACCACATAGATCGGATTTGATAATTGTGGTCATTTGATGTCATTTGCCCAGAGGAAGATTTGGTTAAACAAATTGGGATGTATAACCAACGATATCACCAACTATATTATGGGAAAAGCAATGGAAAACCAATGGTTAAACGCCACAATCTCAGGTTTTTCGCAGCAAAATATGGTGATGGAATTAGCCAACAATATGATATCTGGCTTTGTCTCAAAACAGCTGAGATGATTCATGCATAGAAACCTGGGTTCGGGGGAAATCTTGAGCTTTGAGATGGATATGGATGTGGTGTTTTTCACCGGCAAGAAATTGGACATTTCACTGCCAGGAAGAGGAATTTGCCTTGGGCTTGGACCCAGATTTCCGGTGTATTTCTGTCCAGTTTATGGCTGTTTGTTTGAGAAATGAGAAACTTATGATATACTCTATATTCAGACTTGGGGGGCCCAAGAAGCTTGAAAGTAAGGAGCAGCATGCGGACCGGGGGCAAACGAAATCTCGGCGTTGATTGATGAGTTGTCGGCTAGGTGTTGTGCAGGTCTATAAGATTCTGTACCATGGAAAGCCTATTTGGTATTGAGATACTGGTATTCAACCCAATTTGACCAGTATCAAGCCGATTTATAACCATAGAACAAATCCCAGTTTTTAGTGCTTCTGAATTAACTCCACTGATATGTTGGCGGGTATCAGTGGGACACCGGGGGGCACACTATGGAGGAGTAGCAGGATGACCGGTTTTTCCCAAGGTGATCAACGGCCGATGGCCCCTGGCCTGTTGCGGTTGCTTCGGCACGGCACATCTGCCCGCGCTCTGCTTTCACGTCGAGGCCTTTCGTCCCTTGGCGCAAATTGCGCGATGCGCGATGCGCGAGGGCAGCAAGTTGGTGGTGAAGTTGCCAACAGAAAGTGGTGATTTGACATAAATTCATCATCAAAGAATTGTGATTTTCAACATGTCCTACAAAAAGATTGAGAACATGATCATAGTTGACAAAATGATCAATTATGATTTCAAGATTGTTGTGATCCAAAAATGATCATCTCTTAACGATCATAGTCTTGGGAAAGCTCATAGTAGCTGTGTTTGACCCGTGATGGTGAAGAGATCCAATACATTTCACCAGGGTTTTTGGCAGCAACCCTAGCAACCCCAAGAAAAAGCATGGAAAAGAAATGAGCACTTCAACCTACTATAGATTAGGGTATAGCAGTGGTATAGCAACCCTAGCAACCCCAAGATACTATAGATTAAACCATACTTTTTTGGAACTACCTTTTTGTTACCTGTGATTTTTGGGGAAGGGACCATCTTTCGAGGTCTATCTCGCAATTTGTCGGCTTTGCGGCCTTAGGTGAACCACATCCCATGTTCCGAGTTTCGTGCAAGGAGATGGGCCACTTCCCAATGGCGCCTCGGTTTCTAATCACCAGGCCCCTTGGGCACATCGGTAGACCATGAAATTTGAGGTCTATTTTGAGACGCAGCGCTGGAAAAACAAGCTGGAAGTGTTGGGAAAACCAGAAAGCTCATTTCCAAAATTCATAAATCTGGTATACTGATTTATAGGGGGTATCCCTGTAGCCTATCCCCCATTTCCAAAGCCGAAGCCCTTGGCCTTTGAGGAATGGTTTTATAGCCCCCTCTTTGACATGGCTCATATGCGCTCGCTGCTGGTACGCCATCTCAATGTGGAATGCTACTTCTTAGGCGCCAGCGGGATGTGTCTGTTGTGCACCCAACGATTTCCTTGGAAAACACACAGAAAATGGGTTGATTTAAGGGAAAATCTACAGGAAAAGTTGGGTTTTTTATACTCCAAAATGTCAGGTGTTCCAATAGATTTTCCCTTAAACCAAGTCTGGAAAGATTGGGAGAATCTAACTTTGCAATGGAACACATAAATGTGTAACTGGTTTGCTTGTTGAAGATGGTGATGTTCCATGGTTGCATATCACACAAAAAAAAATCATGGGGCCTTCACTGTTATGGTCATCGCACATCCCCGGATGCAAACAGTTGGCCAAAGATACATGAAACCACCATGCGGGCAAGGGGTTAAAACCTCATGCATACCTTGACCATCAGTTCACCCATCTAGAACTTAGGGTAAAAGTACATTAATGTGGTAAGTAGACATGTTTCCATGGGTGTTTATCACCATCAAATTCTTGGTTATGTCATGATATGTTTAAATATGTCCCACGTTTCCCTATCATATTGCCATGACATTTCCATGATATTCCCATTCTGGATGAACAATGGGTTTACAAAGAGTGAAATGGGTTATATATTATATATGGATGTTTCCCAAATTGGGGGTTCCAAAGCCATGGGTTTCGATACTACAAAAGCCTAAGTTTCGATGATTTGGAGAGTAGCCCCATTTTAGGAAACCTCCATCCATACGCAAACATTCAACAAAATCATATCTGACTATGTCAAGCCAAATATAGTCCCATAAAAGATAGGTTGCGTATTACCATTCGTTTCTTTGTCTGTTTAAAAGCTCTCAACTTTGGGTCCACTGGACAGGCGATGAATGCCACCTCCACGTGTCACTCGGCTGGAAGATGCTGGAAGTTTCAGATCGAAAGAGGTCTCTGCAGAATCCAACAGTCGCTTTTCCCACTGTTTGGTGACGTAAATCCTGAATGAGATCCTACCATCTGGTTATTTAACATAGCTATTGAAAATGGTGATTTATAGTGGATTTTCCCATGAAAAATTGTGATTTTCCATAGTTATTTAACATAGCCATGGAAAGATCCACCATTTTCAAGAACGGTAAACCATCTATTTCTATGGGCCATCTATACCATGGCTATGTTAAATAGCCAGAGGGTAAATGTTTGAATTTACCCATGTTTAACTCATGTTTTAGATTTAATGTTTGATTTTATGTTTGATGACTTAAATCCCTCCTTATTGTGATCCCCATTCTTCGGGTCAGATCCTCCATGGATCCCAGGATCGGACAGGCTAAAGCCTGTCCGAGGATCATGTCCAGGGCTCCAGCCACGTTGCGCCACGTTGCGTCAGGCACTTTCAGCTGGCTCGGCTCAGCAGCATTCTAAAGAGGGCCCTGAAAGTCTTCTCCTCGAGGCCTCAAAATGTCTGGGATGGGAGCCATTTTTCGATGGATGGATAACGGGATGAGCGATTTTCACAGAAAAGGTATGAAAAGGTGGGTTTTCCAATATAGTTTGTTGAACAGCTGAATAATCAAATCCATCATCATCTATATAATCTATTTTTCTCACCTATTGATTTCGATTCCAAGTTGAGAGCTATGTTTTCCCAAATGAACCAATTTTTGGGCGGAATTGAATGGGGAACATCTATTTGATTTAAATTTGGCATCTGAAATAAATGGTGGTTGCTACAAATTTTTGTGTGAATTCTACTGATATCTTCTGATTGAGGTCCCTTATGTCCAATGATCTTCCCAATATTGCTGGTGGTAAATAAGAAGTTGGTTAAGATAGCTAGGTTCAACCTCCAAGTTTCTCAAAATCATCTCTTGCCACTGCCTAGACCTCAATTTCAACCCATAAAGTTTGCTATGTGCCCTCTAATTTTACAAAAATGTCTGGCTCAACAAGCTAGTTTTTTTCTTCCAACCCAGACTTTTTCCCCAACTTTCTCCCATTCTTTCCCCAACTTTTGATATGGGTATGGGTCAATACCTATAGATACATTTTTAGTGGGATGAACATCCATTTACCAGCTATTTTGGGGTTCACTAGGTACCAGGGTTTTGACCCATCCCCATATGTCAACATATCTCAACTTCCCCCTGTTGGTTCCCCGTGGTTCCGCCGTAGGCTGCTGGACGTCGTCTTCGGTGCGGTCCACGAGGACCCCCCGGTGGTGCTGCTGGCGGCGCTGGGCGACGACTTCACAGAGCTAGAAGGGCAGCTGCCGTGACCAAAAAAGCCGTGGAAGCCGTGGGAAAGATGATTTTTGCGGGAAAAGATTGGTTTTTTTATGGTTTTACCATGTTTAACATGGTTTTGAGATGGTTTTGAACATTGGTTTTCAGATGATTTTTAGATTGGTTTTAAGATTGGTTTCAAGATGGTTTTGAGACGGTTTAGTATCGTTAATATGAAAGATTTCAGCAGAGCAAGGAAAGTTCTAGGGGGAAATGATGATAAAATGGTGATTTCAGAAATAGTGATTTTTAAACATTGTTTAGCTCGTCAAACAGAGGGATTCATGGGAGTTCAACGGCAAAAAATGAAGGAAAATGCAGCAGGACACCATGGTAAATTCGAGAATGATCGGACTTTAAAATGGTTTGCCAGATTGTTGGTTTTGACTGATGTTTATTTTCCCAGTTTGTTGGTTATCAAATCCCCATGAAAAATTCGAACCTTGAGCTGTTCCAACAGCCCAATGACACCGCCAGGGACTGACGGTGGGCGAGCAGATTCGTTTCTCAGCGGACCTGCGCAATCCTAAGGACCATGGGCTGCCAATGCGGCGATAGTTGGGAAATTCCAACTGGCTTTGTTCCAAATTTGGGTAACTCAGTGTTTTTAATGGGGCAAATCATGTTTTTCCCCACTTAAATGGTAGTTGGCATCCCCTAGGAACAGGAGGACACTTAGGGATATGACCAGCAATGGGAACTGGCACGACATGGAACTTATCCCTGTTGGGTGTGTCCTTAAATATGCCCTATGTCAAATTGAGTGGCAAAATGATGATACACCAGATTTTCAGGTACACCTGATTTTCAGACAAACAACCACGTTTTCCTGAAGTGAATAAATCAAAGACCGAGTAGACCGAGTGCTGAAGAAATCTGAAGAAATTCACAGGCCATCCCCCAAAATATGAATGATAGTTCCAATTGAGTGAATTTCTGAATATGTATGTTTTTGGTCGGGCTTCCAAAACACCATTCCTATTTTCCTATCAGTTTCTTCAGATCCATGGGACTTTCTCTGACATAAAGTCCCAACAGCAGATTTGAAGGTGGTAAACTAACGTAACTATGGAAAATCACCATCTTTAATAGGTAAATCATCTATTTCTATGGGCCATTTTCCACTATGTTTTCTATAACCAGCTTGACATCTTCATATTTTCAAAAAAAAACACGGGATCGCAGCTCCGGGAGATCATCGCAGGAGATGACAGCGGGGCGGCGCAAGTTGATCTACGAAGATGTCTTGGAAGTGATGCAGCTGAGTGCGGATGGCCCAGTGGACGCCCAGATGGGACGATGGGTGGATGGATTCGATGGATTCTATGGCAAAACAGCCCGAAACTCAATGGTGATATGTGATGTTTCGGATGGTGAAAAGCAATGATGAAAACCATGTGAAAATCCCATCCGAAACTAGAGACATCGTCAGAAGTCCATGAATTAAGCCTAGTTCTGGTTGGTGGTTTGGAACATGAATGGATTATGACTTTCCATTTCAGATATGGCATGTCATCCTTCCCATTGACTTTCACTCCATTTTTTAAGATGGTTAAAACGCACCAACCCACCAGATATTATTATTAACCATCATTAACCATCATTAACCATCATTAACCATCATTAACCATCATTGAATCATTAACCATTATTAACCATGGAAATCCCATTAAAATCCTAGTTCTTTCAGCCAACTTGCCAGAACCAGCAGGGGGCCCTGCTGCTGCAGGCACCATCCAGAACTCCATCGTAGGCGGACTGGAGAAGCGTGGAATTTCAGGAGGCGACTTGGGTCGCCAGGGGTTTTGACACGACACTTTGACCCTCCATTTCCATGGTTAATAATCAGTTAACAATGGTTATATAATAATGGTTAATGATGGTTAATGATTCATGACATTTTGAAGTGGCATTTCCAATTTTTTGAGACAAAACATGACAAAATCATACGTTTTTTACAAAGAAAAAAACTACAAAACCATATGTTCCCCACATTCAAAACATGGCAAATTTGAATGCTCTTTGCCGATAGGGTCTTCAACACGTCGGTAGGTCAAAGGAAGCGCGTCAGTATCGGTTTGGAGCTGGCCGCGGAGCGGTGCTGCGGTGCTGGGATGGGCGCGGTAAACTTGATCTGGTTGGGAACTTATGATTGTGGAGACCATAAGAAATTGAGGTCCAAAAATATGGGGAGGTTGTAAAGTCTTTGAAACTTAGTCTTGGTACCAAGCCTAGTTCTCTGCATCCCATGCACGTTTTCCTATATTTTTTGGCTTGAGTGGTACCAAGGTTTTGACTTGCCGCCTTTTTCAGCCACCTGTAGACTGTAGAAAGCTGTAGCACTAGTCTCACATGGCTATGGTTCAACTGTAAGTGACCATGGCTTCAAGGAACAGCGGAAGCTTTGATGCGCCAAGAGGTTGACAGGCTGCAGTGAATAAACCGCAAGATGAATAGTAGATTTGGCAAGGTGTCAATTGGTTTCGCCGAGGAAAACATCAAAGACACTTGACTTGGTGTGGTATTTAAGGGTAGCCACGACTAGTAGCTCAGTGATACTCCACTTATCTCCATTGCAAGTGGGCTGCAACTGGGTTACGCAATGTTACAAACCATTGAGCCATTTTATGAAGCATGTATAATTTCATAATGCTTAATGATAATATATAGAATCATATATCGATGGCCCTGAGAAAACCTGGGAAAAGGGGATGCAGCCATATTCTCTCGCCATGTCCATGTCCTCTCGCCGCTCGTGCAGGACCCTACCATGCTTTTCCTGGACGAGCCCACATCAGGTGCAGCTGCAGCTCCTGCCAAGTTGGTGTTAACTGAGTGAATTCTATGCTTTGTATATGGTAAAGATCTCGAAGTAGTATTCTATAGTCAATGGGGATGATAACCCAACTTTTTTCACCAGCTGAGTAAGGGGAGATGTCTTCAATAGAATTATTGTTTAATGAGATTTAACCATCACAATCATAGGGTTTTTATGGGGTTTTGACTATCAAAGATCTGGACGAAAAGATGGGGATGGTTCAAGTTGGCTGTGTGAAAAATTAGCCACATTTAGGATGGATTTTGAGCTGTTGGGGAAAGGGATAAATATATGTGACAAGATGATCATCCAGGATCAGCGAACAGGATGGCTGATGTGTAGAAGTTACGCTGTAAACTAAGACTTTTGCGAACTGGAAAACAACCATTCTAAAAAAAGGAAAAGATCTTACAAATGGTGGAGAAGATCCAGTCCGCAAACTGTTAATCTTTTCCTGTGAATGGGTCTGAAGCAAATCAGATCTAATCAGCAAGAAGCTACCTTCCTAGGGCCGTAGATATGGTAAGATTGGCCATGGCAACTGGTAGAGGCTTGTCACCAATGACATATCAGCCGCCCTTTTATCGCAGGATCCACGAGGATCTTAAGTTCCACGAGGATCTTAAGTCCTTGGGTGAAGGGATCCATCACAAAGAATCGACTTCTCAGGATGCGTGTTGTTTTGATTTGCCGAAGACATGGAGGGATTTCCGAAGACATGGCTCAAGTTACCATTCAATTTTTCAGCCATATCTTTTTGGAACATTCAATTTTTCAGCCATTTATTTTTTGGAACATTCAAGTTTCACATCCATAAATCCGTCACTGAATCCCTGTTTTCACCATGTCACCAGGTTTTCACCGTCACCGCGCCTTACCGCGCCCGCGACCGCGCCTGAAACGGCAGATCGGCGGCAGGTTTGGATGCCGCCAGCTCCCTGTCCATCGTGCACAGTTTGAAGAAACTCACCCAGCTGGGCCTCACCTCTGTGGGGAAACTCAAAACGGCCATGGATGGCTCAGGTGGTCTATAGATATGTCATATGTGTCATGATGTGTCATGTATCATGTATGTAATATATATATATATATTATATATTATTATATATATTTTTTGTATATATATTATTATAATATATATATATATTATATATATTATTATATATATATTATTATATATAATAATATAATTATATATATATGTATATGGATTGAGACATGTCATAGCCCAGCTGTAAATATTTGTTTCAAGGGGTTTTCTACAGGTGACTTGATTTTTTTTGTGTTTTTTCAATGGGATCTAGTGACTCAACAGGCTTCCCTTTTCTGGTGGGAAGTCAATGTGTTCAATCTTCCCAGTGCAATGTTTGAATGAGTAGGTTTAGCCGCTTAACCCAACTTCATCCATTTAGCCCAACTAATTTCTGACCCCCAGAAGTTGTGAATCAGTTGAGCTTCCACCATCCCACCCCTTGGGCTGACATCAGGTGATGGTGGTACACCAGCCGCGTTGGTCTTTGTTTTCCCTCTTCGACGACGTGCTTTTGCTGGGCAAGGCACGCCCGTACGCCAAACGAGTCGTGGAAAAAGACACCAAGAATTTGCGTTCATTTTCTGAGGTGTTGCCTTAATTTTACAACAAAATGATGGACGTGTCAAAAAAAAACTAAAACTCCAGGCACCGATCTTGGTGAAGTCGCTTACCTTTAATGTACAACAAAATGATGCTTCTCGCGGGTTTGGGAATTACATCCCCACTGTTGTTGCTTCAAGTTGTTATCTTTTTGTTGGTTCTTGTCACCAAGTTTGTTGCTTCCAATCCCCCTTTGCATCGCAAAGTACTATTCTGGTTGGTGGTTTGGAACATGTTTTATTTTTCCATATCTTGGGAATAATAATCCCCACTGACTAATATTTTTCAGACGGTTGAAACCACCAACCAGTATTGCTCTGGGCTAAATCAAATCACATGAAGTCCACATGTGGTATAAAATCTCTTGATTTTAATCTTTGAGTCCAATGAAATCTTTAGTTTGGGGTAATGTCAACCCTGGATTAATAGACCCCAAACGGCTGTTTAATTGTGAAGGTACCATAAAAAAGTATCTTAATTCATGACTATTGCGCGAATATCTCCCTAAACCATGGTTTATTAATCCAGGGGTTGACATGACTTAAATCAT